CCTGCCTCAATCATCGATCATCTCAACCAGCTAACAACGATTAAACACTCGTTACCATTCAAATAAACATCCAATCATCAGCTCGTCATTTTCATAGTAAAGAAACAGCAAGCTCTTCGTCTTGTCCTTTTTATCTGCAGTGGCTCATCAGCCGCCTCACGAAAATTGGATAAGATTGAAGAAATCAATGGAAAAAAGGAGTGCGAAGAAGGAGCAGGTTGACAGCTCTTCCCTTGACTAAGTATCATCATTCATTTCTCGCAAGTTATTCATCAAACCCAAGAGAAAAGCAACTGATTTTAAGCAGCTATAAAACAAATTTAAATCATTAGAATCATCCAAAATTACGAATAATCATAAATTACTGCTTTCCTCTTCAGCCTATCAGTCATATATAATATATATGTCATCGTCTATACTGTGATGAAAAAAATCGCTTCAATGAACTTGCAACCACGAATGGAAAATTTAATTTCAGAATTGAAGAATTCTAGACAGTTTTCCATAAAATCTTATCTTCTGTATAAAACTGCCTATAACTTTACGGATCTGAACTTAGGTAATCAAGTAACGTTTATATAAACTGGAAACGCATGGTTCCATTGAAGTGGCTTAATTAGAATCCTAATGTAACATCAATCCAGAGAATAATCCCTATTTTAAGCAAACCGTCTGCACGATCCGATATTGGATGTAATCTCACTCTAGATGCTGACATATAATTATCTTATACTAATCGACGTAGCTTTCTTTACTACTCCAATAGTCTGAATGTTTATGTGTATACCGACATACAAACTCGAATGCGGCCCTACCTGCTGGTGTTGTTGTTGATGTTATTGTTGTTGATGATGATGTTGATGTTGATGTTGATGATGTTGTTGTTGTTAATGTTGTAGTTGTTGTTGATGTTGTTGATGCGGTTGTTGTTGATGTCGTTGCTGCTGTTGTACTCGTTGTGGACGCGGTGGCCGTAGTTAAATTTGTGGTTGTTACTGTGCTAGTTTTCGTGGACATGGTTGTCGTTGTTGCTGTGGTACTAGTTGTGGACGCTGTTGTGCTAGTTTCTGTGGTAGAAGTCGTGGACACGGTTGTCGTTGTTCCTGTGGTAGCGATTGTGGTTGTTGCTGTGGTAGTCGTCGTGGACGCTGTTGTCCTTGTTTCTGTGGTAGACGTCATGGACACGGTTGTGGTTGTTGCTGTGGTAGTCGTCGTGGAGGCTGTTGTCCTTGTTTCTGTGGTAGTCGTCGTGAACACTGTTGTTGTTGTTGCTGTGGTAGTCGTTGTGGACACGGTTGTCGCTGTTTCTGTGGTAGTCGTCGTGAACACGGTTGTCGTTGTTGCTGTGGTAGTCCTGGTGGACACGATTGTCACCGTTTCTGTGGTAGTCGTCGTGAACAAGGTTGTCGTTGTTGCTGTGGTACTCGTTGTGGACAGAGCTGTCATAGATACATTTGTAGTTGTGGTTGTAGTCGTTTTGGTTATCGCTGTTGTAGTTCCAGTGGTGGTTGTGGTACTACTAGTTGCAGCGGCAATGAAGGTAGTTGTAGTACTGGTAGCTCCAATGGTAGTGACGTTACTTGTGATACTGCCGGTTCCAGTGGTAGTTAATATGCTTAGAGCCCCAGAAGTTGTTATGCTAGTTGTCGGAGTTGTGTCAGTGCTCATTGTTGTAATGGTTGTTGTGACGGTATTAGTGATGTTGGTAGTGTTGGGAGTTGTGATGATGTTAGCGTTTGGGCGTGTTGTGTTTGTCATAGTGGCTGATACTGTAAAAAAGAAGTGTAGATTGGACAGCCTTAAATGGTTTATAAAAGTGTATATTTATGTCTGAAAAATCCTTACAGGTTGCAGCATACGCTCCAGTTGCATAAATCTTTTACTGATTTGAAAGAATCAGGAGTTCTTTCTCACTCGCTTGATATGGGTATTGGAAATGATGTGGGTAATATTTCCTGTAAGGTAAGAAAGTTTATGAAGGATGTGTATACTTAAAAAGGATCTAGTTATTTTTACGATATGTCCAGCATAGGTATATGAACATTTTGCACACCGTTTGCTATAGTCTGTTGGAGTACAGGAAATGATTGAAAAAAACATACACTACTTGACAAAAGTATCTTCCCCCCCCCCCCCCCCCCCCCGTCTCGGATCCCAACCACTACAAGAGCTGTGGCTCTAAAGACTTGGATATATATAGTTCTCGATCAATGTAGGTCAGCGGCGAAACGCGCATCGCTATAGCTTGAGTCAAAAGAACGTTAGGATGCATGGCGCTTAGTTCCATTGTGGACTTCATAACTCCAGAACAACAAAATCTTATGAGCTGGGAGACGCGTCATTTTGTAGCCCTGTATAGTGGCTATCTGTGGTAAAAGATTACTCGAAGTTCATTGAGTTATTATGAAGTTAGATTAATTTTATTGTAAGGATGGGTCTGCTCAAAAACCATCCGGTCTCACTGTGTGACTTGTAATTCGGCGGGAGTTTGACAGATCGACTTCATATTTTCAGAAAAGACTGCCCCATAGGTGCTTATTGTTCTCTAAAATTTTCAGGGTTATATCATTTACTAGAGAGAAATGGCACTATGTTCAAGTTTCAGATGTTGTTACAGGTCTAGCTACTCGAATACTCAAGCAAATGAGCTCACCTTTTGGGCACATGACTAGTATGTAAAGAGGCACAGTTCTATCAAAAATAAGTTATAAAATTCATCAGGTATCACGGAAAATAAGACAAAAACTTTTACAGTCCATTTTTCCCCTAATTTTGATGGCCTTTTATCGTGGTGTTTAACAGTGTTAAAAAACCTTGTCTGAGATAATATCTTGGTTATACAGAAGAATGAAACGATATTTATCTATCAAGTTCAAATCTGTTAAGGGTCTTCTGACAGTTTTCATGATGATGATGAATCAAAGTAAGCGTGGAAATAGGAATAAAAGTGAGAAAGAGTATGCAATTATGAAAGGGACGCGAATCCTTATTTGCACTCCCTATATTCCTCAGTTTTATTAGAATGAGAGAAAAAACGGACTATAAAAGTTCATGTCTTATTTTCCATGATACCTGATGAATTTTATACCTTTTTTTTGATAGAACTGTGCCTCTTTACATACTAGTCATATGCCCAAAAGATGAGCTCATTTGCTTGAGTATTCGAGTAGCTAGACCTATAACAACATCTAAAACTTGAACATAGTGCCATTTCTCTCTAGTAAATGATATAACCCTGAAAATTTTAGAGAACAATAAGGACCTATGGGGCAGTCTTTCCTGAAAATATGAAGTCGATCTGTCAAACTCCCGCCGAATTACAAGTCACACAGTGAGACCGGATGGTTTTTGAGCAGACCCATCCTTACAGTAAAATTAACCTAACTTCACAATAACGCAATGAACTTCGATTAAATTTTTACCACAGATAGCCACTATACTGGACTACAAAATGACGCGTCTCCCAGCTCATAAAGTTTTGTTGTTCTGGAGTTATGAAGTCCACAATGGAACTGAGCGCCATGCATCCTAACGTTCTTTTGACTCAAGCTATAGCGATGCGGGTTTCGCTGCTGACCTACATTGATCGAGAACTATATATATCCTAGTCTTTAGAGCCACAGCTCTTGTAGTGGTTGAGATCCGAGAGGAGGGAAGGGAGATACTTTTGTCAAGTAGTGTATATGGTAGAATAGTGCCACTTCTGATGTATTATCTACGAAAGAAAATTAACTGTAACTCAAATTAGGAAAAACGTTTTCGAATCTAGTCAATATAGTGGAGAGTAGTACTTTGCTTAGCGCAACTATGTGAAACTGGCAATTGGGTTTAGGTAGGATGAGCAATACGAGAAGGCTATTTCGCATTGGCGTAGTTAAACAAAATTGTTTTGAATTTTCAGTTATTTATAAAGGTAATAAATTTATCAGCTTTAAATAGAACGATTAAGTTTTTGAAAAAACTTTAGTCAAAAAATCATTTGTTTCTACAGTTTGGATGAGCAAGAGTTATCGGTTCGAACGTAGCTAAGAAGAATTTTAATCAGAGCGAAAGCAGGGCTTCACATAAGTTTCATCGTAATTCATTCTGGTGATTACATGGATCATCGATCTGAGATTTTTAGCGAAATCTACAAGTTGAAGTTAGGAAAACTAAAACTGGTATATATAAATTTTCAAGTATTTAAAAACGAGCATTTCAGATTTCGGGTTGGTATTTTATAAATTAATTTAAACTGCAAAAACCATTGGAACCGAGTTAAACAGGTTTTGAATTCTGATTTATGGTCGAAATGAGAAGCTACCTATGGGAAATACTGTTTCTTATTGATGTAGAAGGAAAAGTCGCTTTTTTGTATTCGAATAGATGAAAAATAGAAGATTACTATCGCAATGCGAATTATATATGGGAAAAACGATTTTCTCGATGGATTTGATGAAAGATGAATAAGAGGTATCTGTAACTTAGCATTACGGAAAAAATGGTTGTCTCTATTGAAATGGATGAGAATATAGGGTCACCATTGCTATACCGTCCATGGTGAAAGAAAAGAGTGTTCTGTATCACAAGAATTTTAAAAAAAAAGAATCTTTTTCTATATCTTGGCTAAACGGAATAAATGTGATAACCTCGGATCTCAATCCGAATGTGATGTGTACTTCGAAAAGTAAAATGATTGACGGCAGATTCATTGTCTTCAAACTGTCTGGAAAAATATTTCGAATCAAACTCATATAGGTCTCAAGGTCAGTTCATATTCTACAGAGCATTTTCGATACCACAGCGCTTTCGTGAAGAGATCCTATCTGTTTCTGGGGTTTCTGCAGAATGGCTAGACGAAAGTTTCTGAAACTTTCAAGGCAGATAGAGTTTGGAGTGTAGAGCAAAAGTTGTACTAGATTAAAATTCCCAAACACTTCCTTCAATTAGATATATTGAGGGTCACAAGGGCTAAGAATGACAAAAAGTTCTCTTCTCCTTCAACCCGCTGCCGCAGAGATCTAAATTACATTTCCATCGCTGAAATTTTTTGTGACAATTTCGACGAAATCAGGATGCGTATTTTTTTCTTCGAAAAATGTTGTATCCTTTGCTACGGAGAATCAAAATACTGGAAGACGTATCAAAAACAAGTGTTGTTTTGCTTGGCCCAAAATTTTTAAAATCTAGTTAAACTCACCGAAACAATATTTTTTCATACAAAACAGAAATGTCCACCCCGATTTAATCGTAGTTGGCATAAAAAAAGTTTCAACTCAGTCGGTCGCAGTGTGTAGGAGACACATGGGAAACTTACAATGGAAGGTCGCCAACTGCCAGTTACGGAGATTGACCATGCTCCGATCAAATGATCACTTTCTCCAAGAAACTAACAAGTTTAAAATATGAGCTGTCCACAGCGAGCCGGGACAGTGATATTCAGTTTTTAAGCTATGGATTATTGGTGTATAGGAGCATAATAATATATGAGGCACTTCATACAAGCCATGATCGAACGCATAGAATGTGCTCAATGGAGGTCACCAGAGTTTGCTCAATTCATGGCATATTGTAGAGACAAGGGTTGTATGAACTTTGCCGCAAGTCGTTTTATAAAATGTCGAAGCCTAGTTGTTTTGTAAGCATTTTACGGAAAGTCAGGAAAATGACCATTTTGACGAAGGGACATATGATCGAATCGTATCTCGCGAATAATTCGGCCTAATAAGCTAAACTTTTTGAGACAAATATATCTCTTCGTCCACTAACTACAGTAATAATTTCAGATCTTCATCTCATTCCAATCAGAAGTTTTGACGAGTCACAAGTTGTCAAAAATAGTGAATTTTGCAAATATTGGACGACTCATGAAATTCCAATGGTTTCGTATTTAAAGATAAAAACTCTATGAAAAGTAGGACTTACTGAGATGTATGTCCACAGAAAACTTCAGCTTATTAGGCCGGACTATTCGCGAGATATAATTCGATAATAAGTCCCTTCGTCAAAATGGTCATTTTCCTGACTTTCCATAAAAT